TGTATCTCGTTGTCAACCCTTTCTTTGATTTGCTTCTCGGTGAGCAGTGAAAGATCAGTGTCCTCCACATCGAGCTCGATCCTCATAGCTGCTGCCAACTTAAGGACTGCGCGATGTTCTCCAGATACCTCTTCGTATTGGCCGTTGATTGACGAAATCGTGAAATGTGTATAGATCCACATGATGTAGATTCCTACGGTCCATGCGAGCAGGAGGATGAGGCTGATCATGAGCTGCAAAAGCGAAAATCCCCATTTATAGTCCTGAAATAGATGTTTAGTGTGATGTGACAACAACTTCACAGCTTAATGACGACCTACTCCCGTGTTCTGGCACTTTCCGTATAGCTCCATGTAGGTTCGATCAAAGGTTTTGTTCTCCCTCATCCAAGTTATGTCTAGCCGGTCAGGAGAGTCTTGACCTCCGAAGTCTTCAACTTCGCTTTTGTACGCAGAGATGTTGAGGACAGGTGATTGTATGGGCGTGTCCCCAAATTGCGATGTTTCGTTCCGGGTTCCGCCGAGCCCATATTCTCTTACATCTGTGGCTGCTGAGTAGGTACACCATATAGATCACGCACCGTCTTACATTGAGAGACATTTGCTACTAAGTTGCACGTAGAGCTGTCGGAACTCGACGGCTCGAGAGAAGTGCAGAATACGTCTGGGCTCAGCACGGGATCATCTACATGTCTCGGTCATTGACTGATCCTTCTTGGACGGAGACGGAAGGGAACAATATGCTCACATGAAGTTGCTGCGTCCCTGATCCAGTGTTCGCCCTCTTCGCCGACTCTCCAGCCATCGTGAATGACATAGAGGACCCGCACATACTTGTCGAAAGGGACAAGGTTATTATCGCCATCTTGGACACGAGATACAACGTTGGAGTCGTAGCCACTCATAGCGCTCATGAGCGTTGGAAAAGCCAGGATAAATAACATGGTGGCAACCATGAAAACCATGGCGGTTTTGGAACGTAGTCTCCGTTGCCGAATGAAACTCTTGACAGTCCGGCATGTCGATATTATTGAAGCATCATTCTCGATAAATATCGTCCGAAATAGCCGGTAGGTGACAGGTTTGTCTTCCATGCATATCGTTAGATACCTTGCGAATTCGCGCCACGATACAATTGCCAACAACAGTTGACCTCCACGGCCCACAGCCTATCATTTGTCAGTATCAAATTCCGTGCCTTCGAACTGCGGCCAGCTCACAACGTCCCATATGATATCAATAGCTTTTGCTTCTGCAAACGTCAGATGTCCTCCGCCTAATGTAATTTGGAAAAAGCCAGATGAGGACCACATGCTGTAAGTCCTTGGATCTAGACGAAAACTGCCGTCCGCTTGACAAGCCTTGAGATCAGAACGAAACAGCGACACCGCTCCGATAGCGACTAATAACAGACTGGCTAAGAGGACGAAAACCCAGATGAACCCAAAGAACCACCCTAATCCTCGCAGCCATTGTGTCGATTTAAGGTCTCGCTTGAGATCTCGGAAGGCGGTACGGACGCTTCGAAGGCCGTTGCGGAAGTTCATAACCACGAAATCCGGTGGAAGCGACTTCTGGATCAAACGGAACGGTTGTAGTTATCTAAGAATGAAGAGAGTGCTGCCAGGGCTATGATGGATTTATCTAAAGGTAAAGAGAAGGCTGAGACATCGCCACTGCTGACATGCGTCTACCAGCCGTGGACCCCACGCCTCCCTTCAACCGGCTGCGCCCATCTATGTGCATCCATTCTTCAGCCTTTAACAGCCTACCAACCTACGAGAAACGGCGCTAAGGAGAGCAAAAGCATGAACTTGTCACACAGCCCGCTGCTGCCTCGCATGTTCAAGAGTCCAAATTTAACAGTATGTGGCTGGAGTCCATGTGCTGCAGCTATGCCGACGCCGTGTTGGAGGCAAACCGGAATAACATCAACAACGAAACCAGAGCGCAGTAATGCTTATACACCTGATGGAACAAGAGCCGTAACGGGATAAGCTAGGGATAACTACACGTACTGCGCAGTCAAATAATAGAGCATAGCGTAGGTAGTAAGGATGGAATTTAACACTACGATGCTGCCTGCTTCGGGTTGTGGATAAGGTGATGTATCCCTCAGACCAATGACATGACACGATGTACGATGAGAAGGTCTTTGGTTTGGATGGCCTGTCAGTGGTGCCATCGTGTCTCCTTTGAACGGGTGCGCTAGGATCCGCAAGCCGGTCCCTGCCAAGCTCTGGACACCGCCCACCGCCCGCCAGCCCACTCATCCACTCAGATGGCGCCCTGTACGGCTATAGTATGATTGGATAGCCTGGCCCCTGCGCGAGCCTCAACCCGTGGGAAATTTATTGAGGCGCGTCCCCGTCAACAACGCCATTCCCTCACGCCCTTCACTTGTTGTTGCTTCTTGTCGCACAGTATGGGTCTCCTCGCCAATGTCGCCGGCCCCTTGGGCAACTTCACCTCCAACTCATCCCTCCCCGTCCTCGTCGCCGCCGGCTTCGCCTCCTTTATCCTGCTCGCCGTCGTTCTCAATGTCTTGAAGCAGCTGCTGCTCAAGAAGCCCAATGAGCCGCCCCTCGTGTTCCACTGGCTGCCCGTGATCGGTAGCACCGTCACATATGGCATGGACCCGTATGCGTTCTTCTTCGCCAACCAGAAGAAGGTGTGTAGGAGATGCAATGGCAGGGCTGGACATGACTGACTGGAAGTAGTATGGCAATGTCTTCACCTTTATCCTCCTCGGCCGCAAGATGACTGTGTGCCTCGACACCACCGGCAACAACTTCATCCTCAACGGAAAGATCAAGGACGTCAACGCCGAGGAGATCTACTCCCCGCTCTGCACACCGGTCTTTGGCAAGGATGTTGTGTACGACTGCCCCAACTCGAAGCTCATGGAACAGAAGAAGGTGCGCAAAATTTATCCCCATAACCAATCCATGGCTAACGCGAAGACAGTTCGTCAAGTTCGGTCTCACCCAAGACGCCCTCCGCTCCTACGTTACCCTCATCACACAGGAATGCGAAGATTTCGTCAAGCGCCACAAGGCTTTCAAGGGACAGAAGGGCACTTTCGACGTCCCCAAGGTCATGGCCGAACTCACCATCTACACCGCCTCTCGTTCGCTCCAGGGCCAGGAAATCCGCAACTCGTTCGACTCCAAGTTCGCTGAGCTATACCACGACCTCGACATGGGCTTCTCACCCATCAACTTCATGCTGTCTTGGGCCCCGCTTCCCCACAACCGCGCACGCGACAACGCGCGTGAGACGATGATCAAGCTATACTCTGAGGTTGTTCGCAAGAGGAGATCGGGCGAGGTTAAGAAGGACTCTCCCGACATGATCTGGCATCTTATGGACTGCAAGTACAAGGACGGCACACCAGTTCCCGAGCACGAGATTGCCGGAATTATGATTGCGCTGCTCATGGCTGGTCAACATTCGTCCTCTTCGACCATCTCCTGGATCATACTCCGATTGGCACAAAATCCCCACCTGGTCGAAGAGCTCCTTGCTGAGCAGAAGTCGGCTCTTGGTGAGGACCTCCCACCGCTAACCTACGAAGACCTCCAGAAGCTACCCCTCCACACTCAGGTCGTCAAGGAGACCCTCCGTATCCACGCCCCGATCCACTCTATCATGCGCAAGGTCAAGCAACCTCTTGTCGTCGATGGAACAAACTACGTTGTACCCACCTCCCACACGCTTATGTCCTCGCCTGGTTTCTCCGCTCAGCTCGACACCCACTTTGTCAACCCCTCCGTCTGGGACCCGCATCGCTGGGACGCCGAGCACCAGCAATACGACGAGGAGCGTGACGACGCCGACCAGGAGAAGATTGACTACGGCTGGGGTGTTGTTTCCAAGGGAACAAACTCTCCCTACCTGCCCTTTGGCGCTGGAAGGCACCGATGCATCGGCGAGCAATTCGCTTACCTCCAACTGCAGACCATTCTCGTGGCGTTTGTGCGCGAGTTCAAGCTCAGGAATGTGGGTGGCAGCAAGGACATTGTCAACACCGACTACTCGAGTTTGTTCTCTAGGCCGTTGGCTCCCGGTGTTGTAGAGTGGGAGAAGAGAGAGAAGGAGCTGTAGAGGACTTTGTAATCCTTCACTGCTCTATGAAGCTTTGCGTTTTTAATGATGGGTGCATGTAGATACAGGCGGTTATCCTGCTTTCTACGAGCATGAGCGCGCATGAGGTTCTGGGTTCCGTTCCATGCCAACATAGACTTTGGGATTAGTATATTAGTTAATACTTTTGGGTATCTAGGAGGAAAAGATGTAATGAGAATCGAACATAACAGCAACATGCCTTGATATGAGTTTAGTCGTGTTGTAGAGGTAGGTTCCATGCCGGATAAGGCCGACTAGGTCTATAGTGCATAGCCGAGGAGATGTCATGGCCTTCCGGTAGACCTACCGGAACCTCTAAAACTGGAGCGCGTCATCTTTCCTAGTCACGCATCCGACTGGGTCATCACGTTGCCCCTTTTCACATACCTCGGATTTGAAAGAGATTTATTTTGCGGTGTACCGGACTGGTAGAAAAGAGTTGCAAACCCAGCATTTACCAGAACTACTTACTCACACTCGGTTTCCACAGAGCTTTCTGAGAACTAGACCAAAGACCATCCAAGAAGAGTAAAGATTGCCAAAAGAAGAGAGGGCTGAAAGATGGACGACATGCAAAGATTGAAGGTGGATTATCCATGGATTCAAACGCCGCTGGTTGTAGGCGCGCCGATGCGCTTGATCGCTCTAGCGGACATGGCTGTTGAAGTATCGAAAGCCGGTAAGTTGAAGAAGAGACCATCACTTCAATTCTTCTCTAGATCCATGCAGTGAGAAATCTGCCTGACCAAGCCCCTCCATCCCTTTTCATCCTTTAAAACACGCGTTAGCACTCCAACATCATCCTAACCAACTCACACAGGGGGAATCGGCTTCATAGGCGCAGGAACAGACGTATCAGATCTAGAATCCCACATGCAGCACGCAAAGAGACTCCTGAACGACACACCCGCCGCACTACTAACGAAAAACGGAACACTTCCCATCGGCATCGGCTTCATAAACTGGGGCGCAGATCTCGAAACGGCCATTCCCATCATCGCGCAACACCGTCCAGCAGCAGTATGGTTCTTCGCGCCTTCATCCACAGCATCCCTCGTGCACTGGGCAGAAGCAAGTAGAACCGCCTCTCCCGCAACGAAGATCTGGGTTCAGGTAGGCAGTGTAAAAGATGCTGTGGAGGTAGTCCAACAAATCGGCCCAGACGTCCTCGTCGTCCAAGGCACAGACGCGGGAGGCCATGGTCTCGTCCAAGGCGCAAGTATCGTCACCCTCCTCCCTGAAGTCGGCGATGCCATCAACGCCCTCCATCAAAGCCCCAAACCCATTCTCCTAGCCGCAGGCGGCATATCCGAACCCCGCACCTTCACCGCGTCCCTCACTCTCGGCGCCTCAGGCTGCGTCTTGGGGACGCGTCTCCTCGCCACCCCCGAAGCAGCCATAAGCAGTGGTTACCGCACCGCCGTCCTACGCACCACCGACGGCGGACAAAGCACCGTGCGCACCAAAGTCTACGATTCCCTGCGCGGTACGAACTGGGCGGAGACGCATAATGCGCGCGGTATTATCACGCAGAGCTATGTGGATGCTGTGGAGAGGGGGATGAGTCAGGAGGAGAATACGCGGTTGTATCGCGAGGAGATGCGGAAGGGGGATGAGGGGTGGAGGGAGGGTGGGGGCAGGATGACGGCGTATGCGGGGAGTGGGGTTGGGTTGGTTAGGGAGGTGAAGGGGGCTGGGGAGGTTGTGAGGGAGGTTAGAGAGGGGGTTGTGGGTGTGCTGGAGGGGGTGGGGAGGAGGGCGAGGCTGTAGAGTAGGGGACGAAGAACGGGACTGCGGCCTTCCTGATGCCCTCTTTTGTGGGTTCCTAAGATGGAGATGCGATTCATCTGGTAGGTGGAATGTACATATACATACATGCATGTCTGGAGTTCGTTTCTCTGGTGGAACATATGAAAACACATAGTGGGTTGAGATGCGAAGGTGCGATGATGGAATCGTCGCTCGGATATTTTGACACACAGTAAAAAACAGAAGAGCATGCCACCTACTAATTGCTCGCTCATATACTCCTGACGTCTGCCACTCACATAATCCCAAGACCATGCCCCATTCCCGCCTGCTCTTTCCTGTACTCCGGGTATTTTTGTACCGGATGCGTATGTGGCTCGACGTTGGTAATTTGATACTCGAGCTGTACAATCTGCAGCCCGCGGCCGTTCGGAACACTCTACAAAGCCTTGGTCGCCCGGTATCTGCCCGTCTTGAGGTTGAAGGCACGCTGGTCCTTCAACCACCGCCTGTATCCAGCCACGCTACCAATCTTCTCGCCGTAGTAGTCCGGTGGGGGGTTCGCTAGCGAAGAGGCAGTAGGGTCGACGCGGTGACGCTTGATGCGGTTGAAGAAGGCTGAATCTTTCTACACACACCTCCCGTTAGTATCCGCCATCTCATCACTCTCCAGACGTGACTTACCCGCGTGAATTCGCCCAGCACACCCCTGTAAGCCAGATTGAAGACCTGGTTGCCGAAAATAGGCCCAATGAGCCATCCCATCGCCATCATGCCCAAGGTGCTCAGTCCCATGAGCATGAAAGGATCGAAGCCGCCGAGTTGGGCGGAGAGGGTCGCGTCATAGCCATTGTTGATCATGGTGGTGAGACCAAAGTACGTCACGCCCACGGCGCCGACTCCCGAGCAGGCCTGGCCAATTCTCCGGCGCGTGCGGCGTAGGGCGAAGAAGGCGTTCCATGTGAGTTGGGGTTGTGCGCCGGGCGAGTTGTTGGCCACGGGCTGTGCGGGCGCAGTCGATGCATGGCGTACTATCAGCCTGCTGGGAAAGGTGGCGCGAGAGGCGGTGCTCGGGCTGCTGCGCTGTTGTTGTGGGAGCTTGCTTGGTCGTGTGCATGTGGAGAAGGAAGTCGCGGCGGCGGTGGATGAGGGGGCCAGTATCGCGGGTGGGAAGCGGCTGGCAAAGGCCCTCGCGGGGCACAGTGCACTTCGTGTGAGCATCGTGGACGTGTCTTGGACAACGGTGGGGCGGCGTCGTGAGGTCGCAATCGTACCGTCAACTTTCCGCTTCGATGGATGTCAGTAGCTGCAGATTGCGGGCCTTGGCGATTGCGGAGAAGCGTCCTGCACTGTCGTCGCCGGTTTGAGTTTGCCCTGCGCTTTGTGTCTTACAACAACTCAGTTTGTTGCAGCTCTTGATCCGGAGGATTTTGCGAATGCGCTCAACGTTGGCGAGACGTCATTTCTTCATCTTGCTCGGAGGCTGCTGACTCATCCGGTCGGCCATCTTCTCCACACTATGGGTCACGACCGTCTCTTTCGAAACTTCTACGTTGTCTAGTCTCCTGACGTCTCACGACAGATGAGGGCTTCATGGTTCAGATCAGCACGTCTCCTCGGTCTTTGTTACGTCTGTCAAGGGCAAGCCATGAGTGGTATGCCCCTCCGCAAGAGCTGTGCAGAATCTGGCAATGAGAGGCGAGGGCATGTGTTCAGTGTGCCTCTTCACAAGCTTAGATCCACCTGATCAACACTTTGTTTGTCAGGCCTTGTTAAGGGCAACCCCATGGGTTGTGCCTGCTACACGCACGTTCAATACTCACCCTTGTCTCCGTGCCACGCAAACAATACAGACGCACAGCGGTACCGATCCAATGGGTGCGTACTCCATTCCTTAGGCTTTTCCTTCCTTTCTGGGAATCATGGTTCAGTGCCCGTACCTGCAGTTGTCGCCCACCGGTGTGGCTCGATGGTCACGGGTCTGGACACGGGTAGGTCGATCATTCAGCGAGACCACCTCAACCTTGGAACGCTATGATATCCCTGTACACTATGCCTCGGCGACTGGGGACGATCTAGCTGCTTTTGGTGCCATGCTTGCGGCTTGTCAACCGCGCAAAAGCTTTGGTGTGAACTTGGCCCGGAGTCTGAATCATTGGGACAACGTAAATCGGAAAGACATGCAGGTTGTCATTGTAGGAGCTCAGCTTGAGTCTCAGTCTGTGACCACGGAGAATCCATATGTCTCTGAACAGAGGCCAATGCCCCAGTTTGGTGTGACATGTATGAAGTATATCAAGTCTCGTTAATGTAGCAAGCCAGCCAGTCAAATGAATGATCCGCCAAGTCGGGGTTCGATATTTCCACGTCCTACTGTTGCCCTCTGCCTGAGACCAACTGCTCGCCATGCAGCAAACTCGACCCCGCCCAATCTCCCTGAACATCTCCACAACATGTCCAGCTCCATGGCGCGCCATCCGTCCTCCTACACCACGACGCGCAACCTATCCATCAATGTCTACATTGGTCAACGCCAACCATGAAATCCCTCCCGTGCCTCCCTTATCCTACTGGGACCCGGATACGCCGTCACCTTTGGCGTCTGACCGCTCAGAAGTCTCGCCGAGCTCACCAGTGAACCCATTCCTCGCTCCGCCCAAGTCCCCAGTAGAGCGGCAACACCTTTTTCCAAAGGCAGCACCTCTGCTTCCGGCATCCCCTCTATCAATATTTGACAGTCCAATGTCGCCAATGGCAGTCACATTTCTCCGTACACCCACCCCTTCGCCAACCAAGGCGACGTTTCTTCTTTCAGCCTCTCCAGATCTATCCCCACGCTTCTTGCTCCCACGCTCACCGCCTCCTTGTACGATGGGGAAGAGAAGGGTTTCCGTATACGATGTTGTGAAGGATATCTCAGAGAGGAGAGGGAGCGTGGCTAGTATGGTGAGGATGCAAGAGATGATGAAGTCGGAATTCTATCAGTCGCTATTCTTGAAAAGACAAAAGGAGATGGGTGGTCATTCGGGGAGCGAGAAGAAGGGAGCGAAGACCAAATGGACGATAAAGGGAATATGGAGACGATTGACTGGTGGCAGAAATGACCGGGAAGTCGGAGAAAAGAGTAGAGCTGTACTGGGTATGGATCGCATGAGAATATCCAGGCCTCAGAGCCTTATGTTTGGAGTTTAGTTGTTACCTGAGGTTATTGCATGATTCAAAACGTGTCTCCAGAGTCGCCTGCCGTGAGTTTGAAGAACACCTATATGCCGTGTTTGGTACTAGAGCAACAGTTTTTGAGATGTCAGTTCGATACAGGAATCAAGCTGACTGGAAAGTATACACGGATCGAATGATACAGGCTTGAGTGAATCATTGGCGCGGATGTAGAGTTCAATGGTAGATAGTGGCAACGGGACGCTGACGAGCTAGCGAAGAATGGGTTGCGAACCACGGGTGTCTCGGAGGTCGATCGACGTAAAATCTTCAGATGCCATCCTTTCCGATAGGCAAATCAGCTTGTAGAGGATCTCGTGAGTAAGGCGTTGCGATAGCCCATAGAGCATCAATGACGTGTAACCTAGTTATCCTGGTGAGTGGATTTGTGGTGCGAAGCGGGCTCGAGATGCCGTTGATACCGAGTTGTGCATATGAGCAAACATCTTTAGAGTAGAGATAGTGCGATTGTTGAGCGATGTTGGACATATTATTTGCGACACAACACCTTATGCGCAAACCTCAGGGTCCACCGTGATAAAGGCGTGTAATGCGGGTGGAGGCGCAATTCTCGGCGATACTGCTGAGAAACCACCAGCTCGGTGCAAGTGGGCTGTCGTACTGGGTGTCACGGCCGCTTATGCGGCGAAAAGGTCGGTCAGACTTTAGCGTAAGGCACACTGTGGTCAGACCACGCCAGACTGGCTATTGGCTCCGCTGGAACTCTGGATGATACCATTGTGACATTCGCCATGGCAGGCGAATGCCAGGGGAGCGACGTCAGGCTCCGTGGCCGTGGTAGGAGTGAGGTTATCTGGTTCCAAGACCAAGTGGATGCCGGTGGATGACAGTGGATCCTAGGGTGGTCCCAGGCGCGGATCGAAGCACCCCAACATACGACGCTCAGACAGGTGGTTATCAGTGGAGTCGCGCTAAGAGCAGACGAGCGAGCGTTTGCAATTCGAATTTGACAATATCGCGATAAAGGATTCTGGTAGACCCTGATTTTCTGCGGGCCTGTATACAGTGGCCAGGCTGCTGGATCAAGGTGCTGTGTTTGACTTGTCGACTGGTCCGATACGCAACGCTTCCAAGACGTTCAAGAAATTCCAAGCACCATTGGCATACTGCACTAAGACGATTGGGGAAGTAGCCGAGCCTGACTCCGTGATTGGCTGCGATTCCTGGGGCAAATAACTGTGGTTTTTCGGGCATCAGCACGGTGGATCAGGGAGCCGGTGCCGTTGGATAGGAACGTTGGCCATGAGGTGTCAAACACGCGACGTCGCACCTCTTATGGAGAGGATTTGGTTGTGTGGTTCCCCCACGCAGTGATAACGGTCTTCTCGAAGCGGGTGATGGAGCGAAGACGGGCCTAATTATCGAGGAAACTGAAACGAGCGAGGGATTGTCGTGCTAGGATGCGAGGTTAGATGGGCAATGTAACGCAATACTGCGGTGCCCATTACGCCCGATAACACAACACACGCCGCAATCACGAGCGCTTGGCTTTGCCTATTCGCGGACTTCGCGATGGCAAGACTGAAGCGCCCCGGAGCGCCACCGATGGAGTGGTTGACAAACAGTAATGTTGGAGAGGCATCGCGTCTCGGGCTAACCGAGGCGGAGATGACGGAAGCGAACGCGCTAGACCGGCCCAGGCAGGTGCACATGGAGGTGGGGCACGTGAGAGGCTTCTCCAGACTACACCAAGTAAGCGCAACCATCCGGCTGCAGATAAGACGGCCGGTATGCACCAACCTCGATTCGCCAATTGGGGCAGCTGGCAAGGAAAGCGGCGTTGG